TAATTATAAATTACTAAAGTGTTTAACATAATTGATAAATTTACCTTCTAGGTTTATCAACATTTTTAGTTGATTGGCAAAGAAAATTTTTCTATTTTGTTTATTTATTTGAATAGGCATTATTGCTAATTCATATAATTTTCAAGGGAATGTACAAAAAACCCATTTGATATGACTTAATATATGCTCACTGGTAACTGGTATTTCCTGCAGTTCTAGTGAGAAAGAGTGATCAGTTATCTTCAACCGGGTCTGTTGTGAGATATGGTGGATGTGTCTCTCATTTTCGTGGATTAGTTGAAGTTAGACATTAACACTGTTGGATGCCAGCTCACTGGTCTAGTGGTTGAGTGTTCGCGCGCGAGATCGATAGGTCCTGGGTTCGAATCTCGCGGGGTGGGATCGTGAATGCTCACTGCTGAGGAGTTCCAAAATGGGACGAAACGGCCGTTCAGTGCTTCCAGGTTTTCCACGGTGGTCTAGCTTCAATTGACTCATGATCTCAACCATTGAAATTATTATAGTATCCACAAAAAAACTTTCTGAATTATAGGAACGTTATGATGATGTGAGTATTGATTATATATATAGTTACTTTTCAGTTAAAAAATTGTATTTCGGATAATACTGGTTTGAAAAAAAACAAGGAAAATAACCTTTTGTGGTAAAACTTTATAATTATGAATTCACTTGGTATTGTTTACTTGAATCTTCCCATTATATATATTTGAGTTTGATCTCCTCAGGTTGATTAATATTAAACAGAATGACCCATAAGATAGTAAATAATAGGTGAATTCTATCTTAACGCTATGTTTTGAAGATAAATGTTACCTGATATTATTAAACTATTATAATCTAGAGACTTTTTGGTGAGAGCCTTTCAAGAGCTAAATTAAATCAATTGTATTATGTTAAATATTAACCATAAGTTATATAGAGTTAGGCTCGATAGATAGTACGAGCAATAATGAATGTGGTACATTAATCCAGTACAAAATTTGACTTGTAGCCCAAAACTTCCAACCAACTGGATAATATGTCAGACTTAAATTACTTTATACAAATCGAACGGTTGAATTATTTCACTATTAGAAATTTATTTCAATCTGATTAGTAAAATACAAACATATCATGTTTACCGTTAATATTCAAACCGCTCTAGATTTTAAAAAAATATCTTTGTTTAGATTGGTTCTACACAGATTATGATGAATGGGGGGAATCTACAGAATTAAGAGCCTCTAAATTCATCTACATAAGAAACTATGCGTTTGGATTTAAAATTCATGTATATAAAAAAATACATACAAATAAATGGGAATCGAAATCAATTAAATCTATAATGGACATCTTTCGATTTCAGTTAATCTTTTATATATATATATATATATATATATATATATATATATATATATTATATATATATATATATATATATATACATATTCACAATACTTTCTTTATGTTTCTTTATGAATTTTAATGTTTTATTTGAGTTAAATGGTTAATATCTCATAGAAACCATTGCAAACAAATTCATCCTCAGTTTATTATCCCATTTGTTTATTATTAAGATAAACGAAATAATAATATTAACAATGAAAGTGATGAATTTAATGACTCAAAGTCAGGGAAAAAACAACACTTGTAAAATGAATTTCTTAGCGTTATTGGTTATATATTTCCCTTTTTCTTTTCATAAGACTATCTTTTTTTTACTTCTTTATAGTTTGATATGAAATTCATGGAATAATAGTTGTAAGTGAATTATAAAATAAATTGACCATTTATGGATCAGAAGGGAGTTTTGTGGAAATCTTAGTAAGTTGAAAGTTGAATTTATGAGTCAATTGAAGCTAGACCATCATGGAAAACCTGAAAGCACTGGATGGTCGTTTCGTCCTAGTATGGGACTCCTCAGCAGTGCGCATCAACGATCCCACTAACGGGACTCGAACCCAGAACCTATTGGTCACGCGCTTAACCTCTAGTTCACTAAGTTCACTAAGATCCAATGATGTTAATGTCTAACTTCAACCAATTCACGAAATTGCGCCAATGTTCACCATTGTCTTTAGTGAGTTACTATCTCACAACAAACCTGGTCGAACTTCACTGGTCTCAGCTTCTCACTAGAACTTTAGGAAATTTTTAGGTCAATAAAATTTGAAACTTACAGTAAGATAAAGAAAATATCTATTGAACGTCTTGATTACATCTAACTAAAATACATGCTAAAATAAACCGATGCATAATCATTATCTTCAGACATTAATATGTAGATGTAATACCTAGTATTATTTTTATCCCTGCATTATATTAAAAAATAGATGAGCTGTTTACTTCTCTCACTTCATCGAACAATAGCCTACTTTGAATGACCTTGTACTGAATATTTCTAAGTGTAAAACTGCTAACTTTGGCATAAGACAATAAAATAACTTGAATATCCTGTTAGAATGATACGAATTTCTATCTGTCTTCAGATTCTATTGTAAAAACAATGTTGAATTTCATTTACCTTGGTGAATGCTTTTCTTCCGAACTCTGTTAATCTTTACATGTTTCGTTACGATTGAACACACACTTTTTCCAAAGTATTATATGAAGATGATATATGTTTTTGGGACTACTACACAATTGCTTCAACGATTTGTAAATTCTTATATAGTACTTATTATTATCCTATATTATTACCAAATATTTCTAGGTGGACATTTGCGAAAAGATTTCTATGTGTTGTATAGAGTAATTAAGACACTTAGTAAAATGTGTAGTGAATCTTTTGATTTTAATATATGTTTGTAAAGAGATATATAAAATGGTACAACCAAATGATAAATGTCACTTTATTAGACACACACAGTTCATTCCATTTCCATTTTTCTCTTTTTATTGGAACATGATGCAGGTACATCGCATAGCGCCTGAACAAAAGTATCAAAACATGAGTAAAAAATATCTACCTTAAGACGAAAAATTTGTAAGAACTAATATAACGAACATCCCATTCTCCTGAACATGAAAGGTATTTATTATTTTAAAATTCCTTTTTCATATAGAATTTCTATTATATATAGCTACACTTACGAAAAATAAAACAAACGTATACTCATAATTTCACATTGTATTAAACATTTGATGCTGAGAGATGGGATTTGTATTTTCTTTATATTTTACTGTTCAACATAATCTGGGGTATTCACAAATGATGATTGATCACTGGGTAGTGATCAATGTCATATGTGCCAGGTCCTTCTTAATACAGATCGAATCCTATCAACCAAGTTGCAATGTGACCACTAATCTAGGTGATTCCACATTACGTGAAATATGTTGAGATAAGATGATATTTGGATGTAGTCAACTGGAAACACTGGATCCAGGTTTCGTTCTATTTGGCACTCGTCAGCAAGGTGTACCTATAATCTTAAGGGAACTGATGCCCCCTGGGGAAATCGCGTTTGTATTGCTACCAACATGCTTCATGTTTGCAAGCTCTGTTGTATTGGCTTCATAGCCGGTTTTCGTTCATATCCAATGTCAGACGAAAAGCTAGTGAAGACCAGGAAGCAAACAATTCTACATGTATTCAATAACACGGTTACAATAGGATAAACTCACACATTCTAGCGACTACCAATTTGAAGTGTAGAACGATTACTGATGGGTAATCATCTGACACCACACTTTTGATTTTACGGAAGATATTATCCTATCAGAACTCTGATAGGATAGGATAGTTACATAAGTAAGAGGAAATGATATATTTACAATCTATTTTTCAAGCAGTGAAGTGTTACTAAGGAATTACCAACTCGAAATAATAAAAGTCGGATGCTGTTTAATCCGGTAAAGAAAGCCCACAATATTTTAAGTGTTAACTTGGGCTTTTATATTAAAAATTCTGATAATGTTTTAAACATGTGCGAATTTCAGGTTGATTATAGAATCAAAGACAATAATGGTTAGACTGTTTTGCGCAAGATTATGTATACAACCATCAGTTATTTTATCTCCACTTAATATTTCGGTCAGTGATCTTCAGGTCACACTGATATTAGTTTTGTTCCCCGATAACAATGGATGCGTGCAATTATAATTTCCGTTTAGTTTGTATTTACATGGATTTTTATTGATAAATGAACTTGATAGTGATGAAAATTCAACCAAACAAATATACCACCAGTTACTAATCAATGACAATCCATTTTGAGTATCACAACCGAGCATAATATCAATCGGAGCTTAAATGACTATATACTTATTACTTTTAACGTGATACTGGGAGATACAGGTTTGAATTCCATCTTAAGTAATATTTCTCTCAAGACTACAAATGAGTGAAACCCAGTCCATAGTCTAGTTTTATGGCTTTCTGTTGATTATTTTCAATAACTGAACATATTTCAACAATTTGTTTTAAACATCATGAACATGGTAACCAATTATCATGCTCAAATCTATGCACCAACGACAATTATTGCTATTGATTCAAAATTATCTATACAAAATTCATTCAAATCTCTTTATTTTATTAATTTTTTCGTTCAACAAATGAAACCTAGTCATGATAAATAGAAAATAACTGAAATGTAAAGCCTTAAACTTTCAAATACAGTTAGTAATTTTAAATTATTTTATTCATTAAAAATTTAACCAATCAAAAATTTAGGTGTATGGACACACTGATCATTGATTGGTCAATTAATGAATTTCTATTTATTTGATGGGAAAAAAATTACAAAGAAAAAATTAGCATCTTTTTTTTTGTTTGTTTTTCACTTGTCATTTTAGTGTTACTCAATATAAGAATTGTTCTCATACTTATTGTGTTTATGTAATTCAATGCTTTTGGTATGGATAGAAAAATAAAACAATTACAGATGATTATAATTCTATGAAACTTTATATGTTGAACATGTTGGTTAGATCCAATTATTTGTTTATTGAATAATAATAATAATAATAATAATAATAATAATAATAATAATAATAATAATAATAATAATAATAATAAAGTTATTTACATTTTCTAAGAAAAAGAAAAGTTTATAGAAATTAATCACATTTAATTATGGTAAGTTATGTTCTTGTATATTTATTTTCTTAAATTTGTTTTATAATTTACAAGAATAAAATGACTGAATTGTATTAACTATTGTTTGTAGCTGATTTATATTTGTTACTAACAGGTTGTGAACTGATTTATCTGATGTTTGAATAGTTTTTTTTCTGGTTAGCGTTTTTTAGCGAGTTAGTTTTGTACAGGATGGGGTCACTAACCCCATGCCTAACCCTCCTCCTTTATCCGGGCTTGGGACAGGCAGTAGCCCTCGGAGAGACACCAGGCGGAGATGATTTATCTGATGTAGTCTAGCAAAATAAAAAGTTGTTTATATCGAAACGGTTATCAAATTAGTTATGACTGATAGGTTGAATGTTATTTAGTACTGAAAAATATAGAAGGATGAACATTCTACTTGGTAATAAATATCTGTTTATGTAATATAGGTGATAGAAACTTACTTAAATTAGAAATATCAAGAAACTAGTAACAAATATTAGCAATGATAGGAAGTTAGTACTTAGCAATCTAGAATAATTGAACTTTCAATAAATTTAGTCGTCTACAGAGCTGGTCTAATTTTTTTTAAGTGAAATGCTCTTAATAAGTTTGATTTAAATATGATTAAACAATTCACTAACTGATCTCAAGCTTATGGCTTAAAATGATAATAAACGCAGGACAGGACTTATAGGTTGCACACTAAATATACTGTTTCTGTTTTTCTTGTATCAGAATTTAATATTCTACATTTATATGTTTAATCTCATTGCAATACAGTACGATTTCTGTTTAGGGAAAACACCAACTAACTTCAAGATAATATTTTATAGATTATACTGTGAAGATGTGAACTTTGGATATATTGATATCAGAACTAAAACAACTATGGAACAGTGAAATTCGTTAATATCTTTGTCATATTGCCAATTAACAGAAATTCTAGTACATTTATTAATGAATACAGACTCAGTTGATGAATTCCACTGTTACTGATATAATATTTGAGATCCATGTATTCAAGTTTTTCGAGTGTTAAAGATGTTCACCTTTAAAACATTCATTTTAAGACTATTTAGCTATTTTCTTCTTTCTAATTTTCTATTAGTATGAAAGAAATTTTACAAAAAATCATTATATTTGATATTTATTATAGTTTATGTCAATTAACTGTAAGAGAAACACATTACCTTGTTTTAACTCTTTATTTTGCATACTTTATAATTCTTCGAATTATCTTTTTATACAAAGGGGACAGTTAAATCAAATCTATCAGTTAGTGGTATTCTTCTTGAATATAACTGATAGATTTATAGTACATCACACACAATTATATACCTTCAATTTACACGATATGTAAGTAAACTATTCAATGAATTATTGAGTTCTTTACTCTCTCAAACTATCATTCTATATGCATTGAATTTATTTGACCGAAATAAATATCATTCATTTCTCAATTAATATAAGTACATAGACATTGCAAAAACTTCAAATCAGGTACATCTTTGTCTGTTCAAGTGTTTCATTATTGTTTAATTATTCCACGGAAAAAACAGAGACATAAATCATTATAAGCAAAGATGGATAGTGACTAGCAGTAGAATATAGAACGCACTTTTCGTCCTATTTGGGACTCGTCAGCTGGATGTGCCTGCATCCCAGAGTTGATGTTGACTGGGACGAAACACATGTCCTGGATTCCACTACCAGCCACCATCCATCTTTCCTTATAGCATTTGTGACTTAGCAGTAATATCGAGCTAATCCACACAGGATGCAAATATACCAATATGAGACTGGTTATTTGCAGTCCTAAACATCGACGGGAAGATTTAAACAGCCAATACAAAAATGAATTAGAAGCACAAATCGTTTGAATGATTACAATTCTATTAAAACAAAAGATTGTATGATATTTATCACAGTATTGGTGTTCATTAGATTTCGGATTATAATACACAGTCATTTTTATCTCATCTATTTATGTGAGATATCTGTGCTACAAAGATTAACTATGTTCCAATGAATATTGAACATTATTTCTTAAAACGAAAAAATGATGTAAATGTTTATGATCACGTTTAAGTACAACAAACTGAATGGTCTTATAACAAAAATTAAATTCCGTTATCAACTGAGGCGATTTAAGTCGATTATATACGAGGATCGTCAACATGTATATATCAATAACAATTAATCATACGATCGATTTGGAGTCAGATCTTGGGCCACTAAAATATAACAATATGTGAGAAATATGTTTTAAAATTGAACTGAATATGTATGTGCGATTAGTTCTTTTTAAACTAGTTATTTCATGCCTGATATGAAAAATTACAGACATGAAATAATTGGAAACAGTTGATAATATATAGTGATGTGTTCATAAGTTGTTGAATATGCATATATATGTGTGTCTTGAATGAAGATTTCTGACCGTCAGTTTAACCCTTTTAAACTTGAAAGCGTTTAAAATGAACAGAATTTAACAATTCTAGTATTTTCTATCAAACATCTAATTATCATTAATCGTTATGGTGAAATGAACGCTTCATAAACCAGAAAAACGTATATGCAAATATGACAAATTTCGAATCTTTATAACAATGAATATCCTATGATATTTCGATAAATTTATTGTTTATTCATTTTTATTTTCATATATTACACTAATGATTGAATAATTAGTTAATCAAACTTTAATAAGACTAGAGATTCATTTTTAATAATACTCAATTCAGTTAATTGTTTGACTATTTAAATCGTATGAATTCCATAGAAAATAAAATGAATAACAAGATATACTTTGATGATATAGATTGTTTTACAATGATTTCATTCGATAAAATAATGTTAGAAATTCAATTTTATATCAGTTTTCTCAAGATTGAACATATTTATAGCTGACAAATAATAAATAACATGAAATCTAAACTTCCTGTTAGCTACTTCTAACCACCCTGAAAATGCATTCTTATGTAGAATAGATGAATTATAGCTAGAAGAGGAATCTGAAAGTCAATTGAATGTAAATACATTCCAGTGTTGATATTCATATCAATACTCCTATTCAGTACCATAAGACTCAAATTGCCTCCGTATCATCAAGCTAATGAATGTCCAAATGGATGAAAGCCAGCTCTTGAGCTCCACTTCCATTCACAATGAATCTGTTCTAAATCACTTCTATATTCAAACCATCCTAAAAGGACACATATATTTCATATGAGATTGATCAAAATTCAGTCTTTAATATCAACAACGGTACAAATCTAGCTGACGTAGAAAACTGTGCAACATTTACAATTAATCCATTGAATATTGTTTAAAAACAAAGAATAAACATTAAGAGAATAATTTTATCCTCCTCTAGTTTATGAAGAAAATAGAAGAAACACCATAGAGAAAAACATTTTTCACACATTTATATATACATATATTTATGTATCTAAGTGAAAATAAAAAAGCAAAACATAGAAAAGATAGATCAAAGTGATAATTCAAATAATAAAATGTGAGATTATGGCTGAAGAAAATCTTAATCGAAATATGCAACAATGAGAGAAATAAAGAAAAATTTTTTTAAAAAGACGGAAATCTTTCTCTATTTAATTCATTTACTTAGTTAATCGGTTTTAAATCCTAAAGAAAACTTCGCATCCTCTCTAAATTTTATTTTGTTCAAAGCGCTCTTTATTATTATTATTACCGTTATTATTAGATTTCTGATTTGAAATTTTCAGAAGGGAAAACGTACCAAGTAGAATTCTTTTACCGCATTTCATTTCATTGTTACTGATTTTTACTATAATGAAATTAAATCTTAAATATTCATTCCCATATATATTCAAACCAAGTTCATTTTAAATGATGCACTCAGTTTTGTTTATTCTATTTGTTATAACTTGTAACCTTGTGCGCTTATCAATATATGATGTAATGATACTGCAAATTAGAGAACAGTGATAATGAGACTATAATTTAGGATTAACGTTTGAGCGACGCCTTAGTGATTTTGAGAGTGTCTACCTAGTAACTAGGACTGAATGAGGGTTATAAATCAGTGTGAGGAATTCAAATTATGATTTACAGTTGATGGTTAAGGTTAGGAATTAGATTTAGGGTTATCATCACGAACTGACATCAGCTATAATGCCAAAACTCTATTTATCTAAACAGATGAGTGAATTTCGCACCAAAATCCGAAACTCGTTATCTTATACCTGATTGCCTCGTTCATATATTATAGTTTCACCACAGTGGTTTATCAACCGAACTGATGACTCATAAAACCCGTACGAGCAGACTAGATTCCTTATCGGTCCTTTTTTCTGACTAGCCCTGACTGTTGGAGTCCAGAACACCAATCTCAGCCTTCACGATGTGAATTATGTATATCAAAGGTACTGAGTTTGTTTACAAACCAAAATAACATTTATACAAGATCTGAACAAAATTGGCTGTGAATGTAGGAGACTGTATATAACACACTGGGCATAACTCAAGAATGGTAATTCTATACGTCAAAATAAAGGTTTTAATAAGGGAATATGAATATGCATAGTTTAGATACTTAATAATTATACTATATATATACATATAGTATTAGTCGATGAATGGATCCCAGCAGTTACCATTCCATATTCTCATCGGGATATAACATTATTCAATAAAAAATATAAAATTAAATACTATTTTCAGTGAAATATATGATGTGAAAATAAAATTTTACAAACTGTTTATCATATTTTATCTTTCATTCTCCTTTCTTTTTTTGAAAAAATAAGATTACCTAATTCTTTTTTATTTAAAAATGTTTCTGGCAATTAGTATCTTAGTGGTCAACCCATCTTTCATTTAAATAAATCAATATTTTAAGAGAGAGATTTTCACTGGTTAGTGACTTGATACAAAAGATTGTGACAATTACCTGACATGTAACTTATTTTAATTTTGTGTACAGTTTGTGTTTCTAATTGAATGTATTTTTTTCAATAGAAAGAAAAACA